AAACCCAAATAGAGCAGCAAAAACCGTTCTTCCAGGAATAATAGCCAATGAAATCTGGAAAGAAAGAAACCGAAGAAATCACAATGAGGAGCATAAATCAGAATATCAAATCATCCAAATCATTTGGAAGTCACTCATTGAATGGGCAGCAGTAAAGAACAAAAAGAGGTTGCATTTCGACAATCTAGAAATACCGGGTTTCCACACTCCAGCAATCAAGATCCTAAAATGGAAGGGAGAAATAGAAGGAGTGATTCTAACCACAGACTTGGCAACAAGAGGGCAGCAAAGTGCGGGGGAGCAATTCTGCGCACAAACACAGGACAATTCATAGCAGCCATTACCTCAACTGTAAGAGCAACTAACTCTCTTGAAGGAGAAGCAGAAGCAGCAATAATGGGCATTAAATGGGCGACCCAATTTACCAATGGGCCTATTCATCTCAGAATGGACTCCCAATCGACAGTCAAAGAAGCAAGAAATCTCCAAAGAGCAGGAGTATTTTCAACTCTCAAAACGCTACTTGAAGCCCATAATGTTTCAATCAAACATGTTTATCGGGAAGAGAACGAAGCGGCCCACAATCTCGCACAACATTCCATCCGATCCAACTCATTTAAAACTTTCAATAACTTTTACTCTCTCCCTAAAAATGTAAAGGGAGCCATCACTTGTGACATTTCTTGTACCAACTTCCGAATTATTTAATAAAAATCCTTTCTTTAAAAAAATATATATATATATATATATACATATATATATACATAGAAAAAAAATGTTCTCTATTGAGGGAGAGAGAAAGCCGCCGGTCTCCGGCAAGCCGGTGAAGCTATTCTCCGATCTTTTCAAAACAGTGGTGGAGGAAGGATCCATCTCGTCCACCAGCAAGGGAAAACCAAGGATCACCTTCACCACGGAGGAATTAAGGAAAATTGGAGATTCTTTCCCATACGCCATTAAAGCTCGTTTTGCAAGGGACTTGCAGATTGCAGACACAGGGAAATCCTTGGAGAGGGGAGGATTCTTACTGCCCGTGACGTTGCGAGAAGTCCATTGAACCTAATCATTTAGAGGAAGGAGAAGTCGTAACAAGGTTTCCGTAGGTGAACCTGCGGAAGGATCATTGTCGAACCCTCGCGGTAGAATGACTTGCTAACCTGTACCAATTATTGATTCGAGTGTTGGGGTGCTGTCTTTCTGATTTGCCCAGATGAACAAAAACACCGGCGCAGCAGCGCCAAGGAATATAATAATGAGTGTGCAACCTTGCAGAGCTCAATTATGTTGCCTGTGAGCTTCGCATCCTTTTAATAAAAATGACTCTCGGCAATGGATATCTCGGCTCTTGCATCGATGAAGAACGTAGCGAAATGCGATACTTGGTGTGAATTGCAGAATCCCGTGAACCATCGAAACTTTGAACGCAAGTTGCGCCTCAAGCCATTGGGTTGAGGGCACGTCTGCTTGGGTGTCATGCACTATGTCTCCCCTCTCGTGTGTGGAGTGGGAATAGATCCTGGCCTCCTGGGCCCTTCCTTGGGCGTGGTTGGCCGAAAATGTTGTCCTGGATTTTGTTGATGTCTTGGTGAGCGGTGGATGTGCCAGGGGTGCATAGTTGCCAGCCTTGCTCGACTTCATTGTGGCGTTGGGATCCTATGAAGCTGCCGTTTTTTGCTCTTTGATTGCGACCCCAAGTCAGGCGAGACTACCCGCTGAGTTTAAGCATATCATTAAGCGGAGGAGAAGAAACTTACAAGGATTTCCTTAGTAACGGCGAGTGAAATGGGAACAGCCCAGCCTTAGAATCGAATGGTTTTGCCGTTTGAATTGTAGTCTGGAGAAGCGTCCTTAGCGGCGGACTGGGCCCAAGTCCCCTGGAAAGGGGCGCCGGAGAGGGTGAGAGCCCCGTCGGGCCTAGACCCTGTCGCACCACGAGGTGCTGTCTTAGAGTCGGGTTGTTTGGGAATGCAGCCCAAATTTGGTGGTGAATTCCGTCCAAGGCTAAATACAGGCGAGAGCCCGATAGCGAACAAGTACCGCGAGGGAAAGATGAAAAGAACTTTGAAAAAAGAGCCAAAGAGTGCTTGAAATTGTCGAGAGGGAAGCGGATGGAGACCGGCGATAGGCCCAGGTTGGATGTGGAACGGTGGTTAGCCGGTCTGCTGATAGGCTCTGGGTGTGGATCAGCGAGAATTCAGGTGGCGGTTGAAGCTTGGGCATTTGATATGCTAGGGGAATGCCGTCTCTTGTATTGTGGGAAGTAGTGC